TGACAGGAACACGCAGTGGGACGAACAGAGATAACACTTATCTCCAAGGGAAGTGATCAGGCGGAGTCACCGAAAAACGTGCTTCCATGTTGGTCAGAAGGCTGTTTTTTTCATTCAGGAGTGGGCAGGCTTAACTAGCCGCTGAATATCTCTCGTTCCAAGAGTTCCTCACCTCATGTTGGGCGGTCACACATTGTCTTCTATAGAAATAAATTTGGGTTTGGTGCATCCCTAAAGAGACGCACGTTGGAAAGGAGTACAGCATCGGTTAGCTTGACCGAGGAATATTCCAAGTTCGAAGGTTAGGAGGTCAGCACGCTCTCGCAACATCATGCCTCCATGCACCGTACCACATGAACCACCAAAGTGATAGTGTCTGACGGAGGTTGTGAAAGCCTAACGTGTTTCCACTTCTCGCAATTTGGGGTACGTCTAAAATGGCTACTCACACTGGATCTGCTTTTATATGAAAAAAGCACATGATCCTTCTCTTCGCTGTCCATTTTTGATCTCTTAGCTCCATCGCTAACACTCTGGCCAGTGCGCCGATATTAGCGAAACACAACGTACTGCTCATCAGTCTGAGCTCACCTGCATACGGTCGCCTTGCCGCTATTCGGCTTTCGACTGTGCGTCTTACAATTCTGTTGCATGTGTTACACATGTCAGCCAGTGACGCGTGGATCCATTCTTTTCTACTGCAACACGTGGCGGTCATCTGTTGCGTAACTGGTATCATACAACGTGGTTCTCCCCTCCGCACAGCAGTGGTGGTTTTGAACGCTCTCCATGGACGAGAAACAATACAGTGAGCAATACAAACCCCTGGACTCCACTTGTCACACTGCATCACTCTTTCAAATTTCAGATAATTCATCTTCGTGTGATGTCATCTCCGGGCATTCTCCGGCTCATGTTGTGAATGGAAACAGCACCATAATGCACCGTAACTTCGCTGATTAGAACACTGTCTTTTCTCATTTCATTAGTGCCTCAAGTGGTCCAACTCCACCACTTGGCACCACATCCACGCTGACCTAGGGTCGTACGACGTCCACCGACTGGAAGATATTTGACAGCATACTCCCACACTTTAATCCAATTCCATATAGTTGTTAATAGGTTATGCGCTTTTTCTTCGTTCTTAAGTTTTGCGTACCAGTTTAGTTGTGAACCCGAAATCCTCTAAAATTATTCATTCACACCTTGTGCTTCAACTAACAAAATTATTTTCTTAGAGCGATCTTCTTTTTTATATGGTCATCACTTCAAGTTGTGATTTTACTGCACAATTCGTATAGGAATGGGTACAACCACATCGTTGTGTTTCCGCTGTATCCACACTTCTCATGTGCACGCTCTGGATTTCTTCTCAACGAAGTCGAACGAGTATTGCAAACGTTCACCGTACCAGCCAACGTGGATGATCGTGAAGTGCTATGCGAGAGAATCGTGCCGAAATCGAGCAGCTCCTTTCATGTGTCGGCATTGCATCGGTGGAGCAATCATCCGATTGTGAGCGAGGTGCGTTTTGTCGTGTGTTAGCAGTCAGTTTAGCAGTTTGCTGGCTTGCTGTAAAATCCCTTTCTTCATATGCTCAGTGATAAATTAATCTGTTGCAGTATTGGCTCGACATCATTCAAAAACACCGTGATGACGTCGGTGGTGTTGTGTTCTGCGTGCCATCAATTGTTAGTTTTTTTTCTTTCTAAAGCTTTCAATTTGTTTTTCAATGATTCCCTCAATTTAGTTACCTAGTCATTACCGGTCACTCTTAATAGATATAGTGCTGAAAGGGTAAAGCAACAATGTCGAACATCGTTCTGTGGGTAGGATAGAGTAGCCCAAGGGTATAACAGATGTGCCTTTGTCGAGGCTCGAAAGTACGCAAACTGCGCTAAGGTTTACAAAGTAAGCTAGTGACGGCTAATGTGTGGTGAACGAGACATTTCGCGCACAGCCCAGAATGCGGAATGTCTATTATGGTGTAACGGCTAATTCAAATGCGCGGGGTTAGTGGAGCCATGGGACATGGAAGTTTAGACTCTTCCCTTCCAGAACACCCTCCCCTTACTTTAAAGGGGAGATGAGAATGCCCTTTAAGGTATCCATCGGTGGTTTGCTTTGGTACTGTTTCATTTTCAGTCAATACGTCATCCACAATTTCGTTAAAGTTGGAAAAATGAGCTAACTCTTTTCCTTACCCATCCTCCCCCCACCGCTTGATACCCTCTAGATAGCTAAAACCGAATCTCTTAGACCGACGTCATAGTCGGCGACGGACCAAGCGATGGAGCGATCGCGATCGCTCCATCGCTTGTCCGTCGCTTGCCAATCGCTCTCGGTCGAGCGATTGGCAAGCGATTGCGCAATGTGCACAAGCGACGGGCGATTGGCCCCGCCCCCAGTCAATGCAGTCGGCTGCGGTATCGATCGAGCAGAGCCATTGCCCGTCGCTTGTGCACTTTGCAAGCGATTGCGCAATCGCTTGCCAATCGCTCGACCAAAGAGCGATTGACAAGCGACGGACAAGCGATGGAGCGATCGCGATCGCTCCATCGCTTGTCCGTCGCCGACTATGACGTCGGTCTTAGGCTGGTGGGCAGAGTCCGTGACCCGTCGCAGGTTTCGCTGATTTGCGCGGAACCTGCGATTGATCGCAGGAGTTAGGCGTGCCTCTATGATGGTGCTGTGATCCGCTTGCGGATTCATCGCTTAACAGTGAGATTGAGAATAGGGCGACCTGCAATGATTCTTACTTGTTTCATGCTTTCCAGTTATAACTGTTTAGTGGGGCTATAAAATGCGCTCACTGATTTCGTTCCTGTTGAACTGTGCTGGAGCGCCTTTCGAATTTCCCGCACAGTTCGCGGGCACTTACCGGCTCGGCCGTGTGCTCAACGCGGCGCCCTATAACGTAAGAAAGGTAGGGGTAGGGGTGATCGAGGCACTTTCAATTCCTGTGATCCGTCGCAGGCTTCGCGCGGATCGCAAAAATTGCAAGTGCCCCATTTGAACATTTGAAACACTGAATATGAAACAAGTGGAATCATGAGCAGTCGTCATTCAGCCATCACTATCAAGCAGAAGTGGCGGCGGGATTGGAGAACACCTTGCAGTATTGATCGGGCACTTGTGATTTCCGTGACCCGTCGCGTGAATCGCGCAAATCGCGAAAATCGCGAAACCTGCGACGGATCGCGGACTCTGACACCAGCCTTACAGATCCCAGCTGGAAACAAGAATTTCAGCGAGGTTACAATAGTGAAACCTACCGGCGATCTGTGTGGTCAACATGTGAACGCATCATGGCTGGATTAGATGACAGCTATCCTTGGCGTCTAAGTTTCTTCAACGCATGGGACCAATGGAATTTACCTCTTCGAGACTCCGTCAAAGCCCAGGTATGAATCTAGAACACGAAAATGTTTTGCAGTAGTCTAAATGTTCTTTAATTTCAGACAAAACGTCTCACTGCTTACGTAGCTTCTGGGAAGCAAATAGCGCTGATTCCTGTATCTTCAATACTTCCCGACTTCAACACATTTTCTGTTTTACCCAATATTACCAAGTCTTTGGTGAGTTTGCACGGTCGACAGTATTGTGGATAAAAGTCATTTGTCGCGGCTGAGCCGAAAAAGGCTTCAGTTAGGTAGGGAATATATCGTGGCTACCTTTTGTTTCCCGCGGCTGAGCATGTAATTACAAAATTGGTAGCATGTGACGATAGCTTTAAAAATTAAGTGCCACATGCGCTTTGAGGTGCTCTTGATGCTGATGCCCTGTGATGCCGCATACTGAGTTTGCAGACATCTATTGTAATGAGAAAAGGCATTTCGTTACAGAGGACATAAGATTCTGAAAACCTTCACAATCATATTCCTTTTTTTATAAAGTTTTCGAAGATCAATAATCACTTACAAGAATGCTGGGTAATGAACGAAATTGGTCCCGCCTGGAGGCTAAAGTTTTGTTCATCACCCAGTGTTTGCAATGAAAACTGCGGCGCAAAAATAGCATTTAACTAAGGAAACTGATAATCAGTTAGCTTCCCTTTTCGTAAGTCGCATAGTCATATATGTCCACTCCTCACTGAACTCCCAAGTGGGCAAAAGGAAAGTGCGACCGTACCTCAGGTTTGAAGCACATGCTAGTTTGTGTGTTGAGCCAAAATCTTTTGAATACAACTCCTAAAACGGCAAGTTCCGGTGATTCCGCCCATTTCAGTGAGAAACGTAAAAAAATTCTCGCCTCACTAAACGAAAAATAGCACTCTACAAACGCAACCACTTAAACTTTCCCCATCAAGGACCCCAAAAACCACAAACATGACGCTGTTCGGATCGTCCAGACGCATAGCTGCCCCCGCATTTAGCCCCTAACAACAAGTCAGGGGATATACCTCCTAGAATGGCGAAATTCGCAAAGTAATCAAGAGTTATCTAAGTTTTATGAGAGTTTTCACTTCGCTTAGGAAATCTTCTTCCTCTATCCCGGAATAGGTGCCCGCCCGCCTATATCACCCCCTCCGAAATAACGACCCCCTTCCCGTTGTTCCTGATGTAACAGCCGGATGACTATGCTGCAACAGTTGATGAGTTCTACCGTTTTGAACAGCTCTGAATACACGACTTTTAGCTTGTTCAATATTGAGGAAGGATACTGTTATCACTTCTACTTCCGTCTACAGCTAGTGGGGAAAGGAGTCCTAAACTACTTCTCATTTCTTCCCTTAAAATTTGGTTTCAACATCCTTTGCTGGTTTACTGTTTTACTACTGACAATAAACACGTGACCTAGATATCACTCATGCCAAATGGCTTTCGTATAGTGCTTTATAAGTGCCTTCACCGGACGCTATTTTTTGTTTTCAGGAAAAAGTGGTGCTAGTACAACCTCAAGTCGACAACCCCTTGTTGATACAAGGTGTGGTGGAAGTAATCAAAAACCACCTTCTTGGCCGGAGGGACGCTCAATTACGAGATCGTTGTGATTGGTGTATTAATAAGCAGTGTGAATACATGAGATATACGCTCACAGATAGCTGACCAAATGTATGATTGTATAGATCTCGTTTCCCATTGATTTTCATGCCTCCTAGGAACGTATTCATAGGATATGAACGATATAAATCTACTATAGCTGCCTGATGTAAGCTGTGATTACACACAGCACTTGTTCGGCCAGACAGATGGAGTCACGAGCTCGCGGTGTGTGTGTGGTCACCACCACGTGCACACTGACTACAGTACCCCCGTGACACGGCTAATGCGCTCGCAGGCCAAACTGGCGCAGCTCGTGGACGCCCTGATGCGCCCCTCGTGTCGTTTCGTTCGGCGAACATTTTAAAGAAATGTAGTAGAATTTAGTTAGCTCCGGAAGTGATATTCCTATTTATGATGTTTACTTCGAGTATAGATAATGAATATGATGTTTAAAGCCATGTGTATGTGATGAATTAATCAGTTTGGATTATTGAATGTGCGTGGTGTGCGCGACGGAAAAAAGTAAAGCGATTAGTCAGCCCGTGACAATTATTGAATTTTCATCTCGCACCACACTGCTATTGATTGATGCTTGCTTGTAGAATTCCTACCTTTGTTCGATGTGTTACCGTTACCCAATTCTAACAATTAGATAAGTTTACATTTCCTTTACCAAAAAGACGTACGAATCGATGATTCGTTTGACACTTCAAATTTGTGTTTTTTCTTCATTTCCTCCCTCAATCTTTTACAAAATTCGTCGAGTAATCCGTTTCTGTCGTACTGCGATTTTACTCGTCAGTTTTGTTTCAAATCAGACGCACAATGGCTCCGAGAGGTGTCGGGCTCTTTATAAAAACACTGAACAGTTTTAAAGAACGCGAGTGTGGTGCTTGTCGTTATTTCCATAAGAGGAGTTTGCGAAAATACAATGCAGCACCCCATTCTGTGAGGATATTCCCTACCTTTACTGCAATGAATGGCCCTGAATGTTTCACTATGGTAGTACTTCCACAGTTTTCTGAGCAGCTATGCTGTTTTTTTCCCATTAACACCATCTGTTTCTTGGTACTCACGGTGACTCATATGGTTCTAGTTGAGATTCCCCGGAAAGGTGTATCAATACATCGACAAAACGGCAGAAATTTTGTGTTTCAAATCATCTGAACACAGAGGTGACTATCGGAACAACGGGAGTCTGTGCAATAGCCTAGCCTTGACGCATAACTGGAAGGCAATTTTCAAGTTCACTGCGTTTTTGTAGTTACGTTATAAGGCTCTTTTGATCCTCCCTTCTGTAAGGTTTTCTCGCGTACACTCGATCTGATTCGAATACTTTATTTCCTGACCTGAAAAGTGGACGTTAAAAGGCTTGACGATTCCGTTGTGGGAGCTGTGTAGTCGGGCCTTATACATGACTAGGTATTGGTAGCAGAGGTGATAGGCGCCGAAACGCTAGATCGACCGCGAAGTAACTAAATCCAGGGTTGAGCCATGCGTGACGAATCCTCTTATGGAGGTGACTATTCAGCTGTTTAGCGGGGGGAGTCGTTTAAGAAAGGTTGATTATACAATGCTTTTTTTTGTGGAAGCGCGAACTGTAAGATTTGGGTAGTGGGTTGTGGATCACGGAGGGGATTGCTGGTTACTGGGCTTCTCGTGAAATGATCCTTCAAGAATTCCCCAAGTTTTATAGGGAAATGTGTATGCTCTTTCACCACAGCGTTTTGAAACATAACTCTTCCCACCTATCACGTTCGACGGTTTTTCTACGGAGTATGTTGAGAATGTGGCAGTAGCATTAAGGGTTCGAACGTAAATATGCGAATTTCTCTGCATATTCACGCTTGAACCTGTCTAATTCAAAATTTGAACGGTTTTACCGAGAAGAAGTCACTGCTCCCTCATAATATGCGTCGATTTCATCGTTCTTTCGACGAGTTCGAATCCATGCCTACTTGGAACCGTTGTGAGTCTGATAATGGATCAAGATACGCGTTGATCTTATCAATTTAGCGATACGGTTGAGAAGCACTTCGCCTTGTCCGCATCCACAGAGTTCGAGAACACTTGGTGAGTTTCCATTGCACATTTTTTCGCTTTTATGTATCGTTGTTGTATGCGTAGCATGACAGTTGTCAGTGCCAAGACAACTGGCGAGTTCAGCGAGTTCCTTCGGAGTACGAGTGCTTTTAAGTCATGAATTTTTTCAAGCATGTGTACATCCAGGCATTGTAAATAGTTCATATGTTCATTTATAATAGCGTAGAACATTTTAAAGGCAGAATGGCGGGCGGAGGGGAGGAGCACGCCGCGCACTCATCCGTGCAGGATGATGCGAAAGATTCCGAATCGGACGGCGATGCAGCTGAAGACGTTCGTAATTTTCAGTGCCCAATAGTTGAGAACGATTTTCGATTAATTATCCTTTTTGTAGATTTTGGAAGAGTCTCCCTGTAAACGATGGTCAAAACGTCGTGAGCAGGTGAAGCAGAGAGATGTTCCTGGTATTGATGTCGCATATCTGGCGATGGACAATGAGACGGGTGAGATATTTTTGATGTTAATAAAGTGATTGTGTCAACAGAATTATGCTATGGTGGGGGGGGGGGGACGGTGGGGCCGAGTATAGCAGGAAATGAACGCCTCAAGTGCCTTATGACTTCGTGTTATGAGTTGTAATTTTTAGGAAACGAGGTAGTGTGGAATGAAGTGCAATTCTCCGAGCGCAAAAATTTTCGAGCACAAGAGGTTCGTTTTGAATTTTTACAAGTTAGTGATTTCTATGCAAATTGATAGCACTGGCTATTTTTAGCAATAGTATTCTGTGTAGATGTTATTATATCCCGACAATGGGAGTAGGAGACAAGAAATGTATACACAGAAATACAAGCGCAACTAGCCTCAATTAAGACGTATGGGCTCAAATTCTTTTCAGGGACTGTTCTGCTTCCCAGCCGTTTTTGGAGATATTATTTCGCGCGTCCAATATTTGTGTTTCGTATCCGCGTTTAGTCTCTAACCTCAGTTTACCCTCAACTAAGTTTTTACGAGATTCATAGATCCGCAGAGTGCCGTGTTTTTCATTGTAGGAGAAGATCAACGCAGTTTTCGACAATCTTACTCAATTGGTACACACGAACCTGGTAAAATTCCATAAGTACTGGACTGATGCAAAGTCGGAGAAGCCTAGGGTGGGTTTTTACCAAATAATTTCTCTTTTGTTTGTTATTTCGAGATCGCTGTTGCAGATTATATTTATTACGGAGTATATGTCATCGGGGTCAATGTCTTTATTTTTGCAACGCACACGAAAATCTGGATCTCCACTGAGCATCAAGGTTAGTGGGACATTTGTATACTCGCTTAATGTATCGCTGTATTTCTTGTTCACCGTTGAGTGTACAGTGCCATATGTTTTTGGTAGATCTGTAATGCAAAAACTGTTGTGTGCTTAAGACGCAACTGTTTGCTTCTCGACTTTCTATATGAGGTTTCTAATCCTTCCTCTGGAGGATCTCCAGATAAATGTAATCTTACAAATTCATGCCACATATCGAACGGAATTTTGATGTCGGTGCATCTCAACGCAGGCCGATGAATTTTCAATGGTTCTGGAGATGATTATCAGGCGGTTTTAGGCATGGAAGAAATGGACTACTCAGATATTATCGGCGCTCAACTATTTACATTCATGTGTACCTCCGATCACCCATGGAAACCTTACATGCGATACAGTATTCATACAGCAAAACGGACTGATTAAAATTGGATGTGGTATGTCACTGCTGAGATGTTTCTGTGAAATTGATCTAAAAATATTTTAAATTGCTTTGCACTCTCAATGTCTTTAACAAGAAATCTTCGTCTGTGAAAGTATTTGTGAGAATTCTATCGATCTGGGGTTTAACTCTAGTACTTGTCGTCCAACCCGTACACTTATTCGTTCTATAGTACTTCGGTGAAAATGAGAATGGCCATTTACAGTGTCACATATCTGTGTAATTATCTGTTAGTGTTTTCGCTGTATCACACGACCGTTTGCACTTAACTGCAGAACAAATTATTTGTGCGGAATGTGCTGTAACACTTAATTTATCATTAGGTCAATGTCAATGCCGCACTACTATGGAACAGGAGACAATTTTCCCGGAAGGCTACATAACTTTTGTTATTCCATCGGGCAAGTAGTGTTAAATTCGCATGCGCTTTATCAAACTCACCACTTTTTGTGTACCTGTTTTAATTGAGAGCGCAAGCAAAAAACTCAGTTGTTTTTGACTTAGTTATCGAAAATCCGAGCTCTAACAAGATTTTGCCATCAAGATGTGAAATATTGCACTATTTCACCACTCTGATAACATTTTTTTGTTTCAATTTCAGTGGCTCCCGATGCCATTAATCACCACGTGAAGACGTGCCGCGATAATCTGAAGAATATGCATTACATGGCACCGGAATACGAATGTGAGTTTTTTTTTACTTGATCAAGGGAGAGAAGGGAACTTGTTTCTAAGTTCGTAAGTTTTTCAAGCTCCTACCTTGGAAGGTCGAGGTTTTAAGATGAAGAAAATAAGAGGGTGAGTTAATAACGTGTGGGTCCTGGCTGGGTTTTGTAGGGAATCGGAATTTCTTTTGCATTGTGCTACAAATGTATTCGACATTATCCCATTACTACTGCCCGAAACCTCAAAAAGTGAAACTTCTGGGAATCCGTCACAAGGGTTATTCGGTGCTACAGCTACGCATATGACGATCATTTTGACGCTGGCGCCATCTGGTGGTAGTGTGGCGTCCATTCCCACCAAAGCCCGACCGTGGCGCCAAACTGGCACAAAATAGCTTATAGACAAAGTTCCAAAAGTTTTTTTTTTGAGATTTAATAGTAGTAATATAAGAATTGCACCAAATGTTCCTCGATACGTGAAACTCCTACTAATATTTTTGTTACAGATTGTACTGAGGTGACTCCAGCTGCTGATATTTATTCGTTTGGTGTATGTGCTGTTGAGGTGAGAGTTCAGGAAAAGTTCTTTTCTATTTTTTGCTTAACGAAATTTTTCAGATAGCCGTTATGGGTGGTCTATCTGGCTGTCAAAGTGGAGCAACTGATGGACCCATCAGTCGTGAGAGCATTGAGAAAGCCGTTCGTTCTTTGGAAGAGGAAAAGCAACGAGTACGCCTAACTAGCCCCTTTTCTCTTTTCCTTTTTTACTTCTTCAAAAGCGAACTCTTTATTCAGGATCTCATTCAATTATGTCTACAGAAGGATCCGTTGAAGAGACCGTCAGCCAGGCAGTTGCTATTTCATCCAGTCCTTTTTGAAGTAGGTGATGAGCTTTAGTAATTCTTG